TAGTGACCCACCCAGATTGATATCTGGGCCAACCCATCCAGATTTTGTGTTGTTGTTTTTTTTTTACCATCTTGTAACACTGTCCCTCCACATGACTATTGTACAGTAGTCAGTATGACTGAATGTGTGAGCCCCCTCTAGTGGTGCTCATTAGGTAGAACACCACAGTCATTGCAGTATTATCGTTGCAGTCACCATATTGTATCTATCTAAGCCTGTTTAAGAAAACGTGCAATAATGAGCTTCACTCAGGCCAACTCAGATTTAATCCAGGCCCAACTTTCTGTATCCACCACTGTTACAATGATTCACAGAATATAAAACTAAGATATTCAAACATCAATGAACGGCCTGTCCGTACAATTAAGTTTTCAGACACTGTTTAAAAGAGTTCACACTGCTAGCTGATCTAATGTCTATAGGCTTATTGTTTCACAGCCTTGGGGCACCAACCACAAAATCTCTGTCACCTTGGATCCGGAAAAACAACACGATCCTTATAAGAAGACTCCAGTGTCCAGTATGGTGTCATAACATGACAGATATAAGCAGACGCCTGATTGGTAAGAGCCTCATAAGTAAATAAAAGAAACTTAAAATCTATCCTCTATTTTAGTGGGAGCCAGTTTAGAAACAAAAAACAAATTAAATCATATCTTTTTATTCCTCATATTTTATCCGTCCAGTTTAATCTGAACTTATACCAGAAAACATTATTAATAATGTTGTTTAACAGTGTTTGACAACGGTAATGAAACATCAGGGTTCCTTTAATAGTCTCACATGGCATTCAGGATTAAGAAGCACCTGTACAATACACAATGCTTCATAATGTGTTGAAAACTAGTTATGTTTAATATTTAAATGTACATTCTGCTGCCAACCTGCCAAATTTCCTTCCTTCTCACCCAAAACTAGAAAGCCATATATTTTATGCAACAAAATTTATTTTAATTAATTGAAACTCATTTTAGTCACAGGTTAAATACAGTCATGCTGTAGTTAAAACATATTTGATGTATTGATTTTTGGTGTGAATTATGTTACCTTCTGATCTTAAAGAACGATTAAAAGCTTTTTATTTCTTATATGAAATGCATTAAAAACATAAAAACATTAACAAGTGCCCCAAATTTGCCCTTTTTCAATAAACAAATCCATATTTCACCATTATGAATCATTCTGTTCTTTTCATAACCAAAATGCATCTCTTCGCAAATCCTGCAGGGCAAGATGAGGCCCTTTGAAAAGAACCAAGAAGCTGCACAAAGTTCCGACAAACCGTCTTAGTGACCTTCAAAAAATTACAAACGCTAATCAGTGTGAAGACAAACATTTGGAGTAAATTAATTGTAGACAGGGCTTTTTTGAAAAGGTATAGCCACATGGCCACAGTGTTAGTCCAAAAAGAGCTCCATTATGGACAAGGGAGCATAAACAGGAAAAGGAGGAAATCAGTGATGACCAAGTTCAAGAATGAAGTGGCCCTGACTCTTCTTTCCATCTTCATCTCTGCTACCCAAATGACAAAGGCCTTGCCAGGGCACACATCACCCCATAGAGTACAACAGGCAACATTCATTTTTGTTGCAGGTTAGAGGGCACATAGCGTGGTTGGTCTTATAACAATAGCATAAGAGTTATAATAATTAAGCAACAAGACATAAATGCCGCAACAGGAACTGCCATATTACCTCCTCTTACAATTACCCATATTTCACAGATATATATTTACAGAGCAGGACAGAAGGGAGCATATAAGTTTACATTTGCCATATCTCCAGGGACAAGCAAACACTAGAATAACAAACAAAACTTAACATCTAACTCAATCCCCAGACATAGGTTTCTGACCTACCAACAGTAACGGAAAACTTCTCAGAGAAAATGCACATTTCCCTATCTTCCTGCCAAACAAAAGTACTTACCTCCTTATGGTTATGATAACTCACAGAGTGATAAACAACATGGACAAGTGACATAGTCAATATGGGCCATATTAGCACGCATACACCTCCCTCTGACAAAGAAGCTACGCGGTTGCATGTGATGTATTCCTAAACAAAATGATGGCTATCTGCTCTAAACATTATGACAACAATAATGAAACTGTGAAAGAGTTCAGCAACCTTAAAACACTGAAGTCCAGAACCAAAGTACAGTTAGCTGCCAAGTTTCGCTTTCAAGGGACTTTGTCGAGTTGTTTAGCTGAGTATGATTCACACTAATTCTTTTCCGGGTTTTGGGTGGCAGGGTAGGTCACTGTGTTGAACTGTTGCCTACTTATTCCACAGCTGGGAGGTTTGCAGTCTACCTCAGCTTTCCACATGTATGTGGAGTTTGCATGTTGTCCACATCATGCCTGCTTCCTCCTGAACTCTAAAGTTATGCGATTAGGTTAACTGGTGTCTCTAAATAGGGCACTTCATTTTTAAATGTCAGATGTATGCTTGTGTTTTGATTCTATGCGTCAATGTGTTTTGTATGTTTGAACATGCATTACGTAATTATATATTTTATTTATGGTAATGAAACAGGATTGCTTTGTCCTATATGGCAGATAATGATATTAGTAAATGAAAACAATCATGAGTTCAGTTGTATACTTAATTAGTCAGTTAGGCTGAAAACCTTCTACATTCAGGAGTCTTGAAGCAGGAGAATATCCTTGCTTAAATAACTACATATAAATTAGTTGATTTTAGTCCCGCTGTCACTTAAGCCATGTCTTGGCAGGAAGTTATTAAACAAACATTTGGTTGAGCTCATTAGTGTAATTCAACATGTTTTTTTTCATCAACGACTTTTGTCATTAATTTACTTCCATAGTGAAACACTCAGTGTTGGGATCCAAGTTGGTTTTCTTTGGTAACAGTACTCAGTATCACTGCCTGAGTTTGAATGTGCACATATTGTGCTGAATCAGTAAGATCAGTGGTCTTGGTGTTATTTCTGAACTGCTCAGGCTGAATCAAGTGAGCTGGTCTACTGAGCCATTTAGTGTCATCGAGCTAACTTGTCGAGACACATTGTGGCACATTGTGGCATAGCCTGCCAGGTTATTTTTGATGCACACATAATGGTACTGAGAGATTTCCTTGTTCATTGAACTTGGCTTCTGACAAAGACATAACTTACAAAGTCATAAACGTCTCCTTTTGCTGAATATGTAATCCAGCACCAGTTTAGTTTATGTGGTGGTGAATTCATTTATGTGCACAGACAACATGGGGGCAACAAAGCTCCAGCTGTGGAATTCAGAGCTCTGGGCATGGGGCTAACTTTACTATGCCTAAGACATGTGAGTTCTATTGTTCATGTGTGCCCACCATATTGGTCAAGTGCAGCGATCGCCTGTACAAAAGAATCTGAAGAAACAGGTATCCATTAAATTGCATTAACTTTTAGAACAAGCGATTTCTGCATGTAGTCCTGGGACACATGAACATTATGTATCACAATAATGCATATTTATCAATTATCATGACGACTTTATTCCACATATAATTTAACAGGCAGCTTAAACAATAACTATATCTTAGTGTTACTGAAAGTGGAGCTCTGGGCTCCAATTGTTGAAGGTTCTGAAGGGAATCTCTCCATGAGAAAGGGGATAATGAAGATCTCCATGTTTTCAACAATAGTTTCAGTTCTGGAGTTAGAGGCATGTGCCAGTCTTGGACATCTACAGTGAGATCCGAAAATATGGCATTTTCCTGCGTAAAGGCTGTAGCCTCATAAATGAAGGGGTTACGTCAGTTCTTTATAGTTGCTAGGGCCCTGCATGTGAGGGTTTGTGTTCAGTGGATACCTGGAATATACAGTTATTTGAAAAAATTAGGACACCCATTAAATATTTAGTACTTGATTAAGAAATATCAACATATCAATATTAAATCTTGTTTCAAATTATAATTGTAGATAAAGGTGATTTAATTGCATGACTGATGAAAAAACAAGAAACAAATTCACTTGTTTCACAAAAGAAATTAACTAAGATGCCAATGCCTACTGAGGAAAAAGTTAGGACACCCTGTGCCCTAATAGCTAGTATTTCCCCCTTTGACTGAAATAACTTCAATGAGACGTATAACCATCTATCAATCTCTGACATCGACTGGCAGAAAGTTTTCCCCACTATCCAATGCAGAATTCCTTAAGCTGTGTGATGTTTGATGGGTGTCTTGCATACACTTCCTCTTCAAATCACCCCACAGCATCTCAATAGGATTCAGATCCAGGCTTTGACTTGACTATTCCAGAACTCTTTCTTGTAAGCCATTCTTTGGTAGATTTACTGGAATGTTTTGAGCCATTGTCATTTGCATGATCCACCCCAACTTCAGCTTCAACTTTTGGACAGATGATCTCACATTGTCCTCAAGCACCCTCTGATATGATGGAGGATTCATAGTGGATTCTACTGTATGATGGTGAGCTGGCCAGGTTCTGCTGCAGCAAAGCAGCCCCAAACCATGACATTTCCACCCCCATGCTTCACAGTTGGCATGAGGTTCTATTGCTCAAAATATGTCTTTGGTTTACACCAAACTGTCCTCTGTTACTATGTCCAAATAATCCAATTTCAGATTCATCTATCCAAAGCACATTGTTCCAAAAGTCCTAGTCTTTGTCTAGGTGGGTCTCTGGCAAACTTCAGTCTTGCCCTGGTATTTTTTGACAGCAAGGGTTTCCTCCTTGCACAGCCCCCATGTAAACCAAACTTGCATAGTCTCTTTCTGATGGTAGATGCATGTACCTTGACATCAACTGTGGCAAGACCTTCCTGTATGACCCGTGATGACATTTTAGGATTTTTGGAGACTTAGGCCCAATCCCAATTCTACCCCTTACCCCTACACTTCCCCCTACCCCTCCGTTTGCCGCGTTCACGTGTAGGGGTAGGGGTGTCTCAATTCTCTTTTGATTGGAGGGGTAGGGGTAAGGGGAAGGGCTAGATAGCCCTCGAAACGAAGATTTTTCGGGACCTCACTTCAAACGAAGGGCTAAGAGAAATTTACAACATGGCTGCCCACTCGAGCAAGCAGACCCATAAATGTTAAGTAATTTTTGCCATTAATAAGGATTTTTATGACATTTTTTCATTACATGTATATTACCATAAATCTTGTGTTTGTGTTTACGGTGATGTTCTGTAAAGAAACGTTTGAAAAAAAATCACTAAAGTTTGCTGCGGATAGCACTGATTGCACAATATTAGGAAATATATTTTTATGTCATATAACGTTACCCGGTAACTGACTGCATGTGGTAACGCGTTGTTTTGTTTTGCTTACAGCCATATGTGTACATGTAAATGAACGGTGCTTACACTATTCATACTTATTGCAACATGACAACATTTTTGTAAATTATATTCTGTATAGGGACAGCTGAGGAAACCCGAAGGCTCATACGTTTTCGAGGTGAAAACGAACATCTGTTTTTAAAGTCCAAATACGGCGCAAAAAAACTTTGGGAGTGAGTAATCTTTACATGCTACGATGCTGACGGCGACATCTTGGAATTTGTGATAAACATCGGCGCATGTCCTCTGACGTAACGTTAGGAGGTAGTGACAATGGATGATGACGTATAACAGTGTAGTAGTGGTGTCCCATTTCTTAGGGGAAATTTTTTAACCCTACCCCTTTCCACTTCATTTCAAGGGGCAAGGGGAAGGGGCGAGGGGTAGGCAAAGGGGTAGAAAATAGAATTGGGATTGGGCCTTATTTCAGCATCTTGGGGCCTGCTCTTGGGTTGAACTTGCTAGGACAGCCAGCCCTGGCCATACTGGCAGTTGTTTTAAATGTTCTCCACTTGTAAATTATTCTCCAGACAATGGAATGGCTGATTCCAAACTCTCTTGAGATCTTTTTATATCCTTTCCAGACTCATATGCATCTACATGCTTCTTTCTGAAGGCCTCATACAGCTCTTTGGATCTCACCATGGTGATCCCACTCATTTCAACAATCAAGAGCAAACCAAACTAAATGTCTATGGTTTAAATAAGACAGGCTCCACAAAAAAGCTATGTAATAATGTTCTAATCATTTTCACCTGATACGGTGCAGCAGAATCTAACTCTAGGCATTTTAAATAATAATGGACGTGAGAGTGTCCTAACTTTTTCCTAAGTGGAAATTGGCATCATAGTTAATTATTTCTATTAAATAAGTGAATTTGTTTCTTTTTTTTTGCATAGGTGATACAGTTACATCACCTTTATCTACACATATGATTTGAAAGAAGATTTAATAGTGATATGTTGATATTTCTTAATAAAGAACTAAACATTTAATGTGGTGTCCTAATTTTTTCACATGGCTGTAAATGTGCCATCCGTAAAATTCAAACTGAACCTGAGATTGCACTACACAGGCATAGTGTCTGGGGTAAAGTAGTTTCATTGTTCTTAAAGTGGTTTAAACAAATTTTAACTTTTTTTCTGCTTCCAAAATAAAAAGTGGTGTTTCTAAAGGAGTTTTTGCTGCTGAACTCAAATCTGACTTCTGTTTCTTTCTAGCATATACAGTTTTTGAGAAAAACAGAAATTAGTCAGTTTTTATAGCCAATCTATAAATAGTAATGCTTTTTCCTTGGCTTACACGTCTGGAAATATTGCACAACATTTTTTAAAATGGTTTGCTTCCTGGAAAGTTTTTGCTGATTGAGACAGGTTCTTGTTGGGCATGCACAAATATAATTCTGGTTTTACTACTGGTTTAACTCTGAGAAATAGACAGTTAACTCTTTACCAGCAATAACGTATTTAATCATTTATGTTTCTCATACGCTATTAAACTCAACATAATTAGACGTGTTTTGCTCTTGGTTTTCATTTGCATTCAATGTCAGGTACATCACGTTGCAGTGTTAAACAGTAGCCAGCAGAAATACTCATACTTGGTGACATCAAATGTCATTCCAACAGTCTCAAACCCAACAATTTGGCTTTTGCTTTTGACAGACCTAAATCTCTGACCAAATTGTTTAATTCTGACTGTGTTATGAGATGTGGATCACTGGATGAGCACGGTTCAAAATCCGGATCATTGTCCCTGCCAGTTCCCTGCATTCCAGTTTCTTCATCTAGCTTGTCTAAGGTACATTCCTCTGGTGGTTTCGGAATTGGAAGACTGTGGTCATGTGGCACAGGTCTCATTGCTGAAGGCAGATTAGGGTATTCAATTGTCTACTTATTTTTGGCAGAGAAACCAGACACATTAGTCTGTCCAGGCATGTCCAGGCTGCAAACTTCCATAAAAAAGTTTCCAACCTGGCCTGATTCCATTCTCAAACTGTACCAAACATTGTTAATAGTTCTCTTACAGAAATGGACACAAAACCTGGATGGTTGAAAACTTTTTATCACTAAACGCTCAGAAAACCAAGGTTCTGATGTTTGGAGGCAGGTCTGCAGATAAGAATTTTCTAATCTCCGCACTCCACTCCAGAGGGCTGAACTTCTCCCTCAGCAGCACAGCCTGTAACCTAAGTGTCATCTTAGATACAAACCTCTCATTCAAATCACATGTGGATGCAGTATCAAAGGCGTGCTTCTTACAGTTATACCACATCGCCAAACTGCAATGATTACTTCCTATTCAAGACACAGAGAAATTGAAACATGCCTTTGTATACAGTAGGTCAGACTACTGTAATGCTCTGTTATCTGGGAGCACACATTGCACATTAAACACCTTGCAGAGTATTCAAAATGCAGCAGCTCGAATTGTTCCCAGGAGCAGGTAGTTTGAACACATAACCCCTGTTCTTACTTCAAAGTTCTCCTACTTGCATGTAAGGCACTTAAAGGTCTAGCTCCTGCCTGCAGACAGAATTACTTCAAGTTTACAAGCTGCATCATCCACTCAAATCACAGAATGCAGATGTCCTTGTCGTTCCACATATAAATAAAGTGACAGTGGGCAGTAAAGCATTCTGCCACAGGGCCCCTATATTGTAGAATGGTTTACCAGCCTATGTTTGGGATGCCGATTCGGGCTCAGTCTTTAAATCTCGACTGAAAACCTTAAGTTTAGCTTACCTGCAATCCAACACACCATAACTATGGCTGTTGGTGCTGCTGTTCATGTCATTTTTATCTACTATGCTTCACCATTTATGTATCAGTACATGTTCTGACCATCCATGCTCTCTGCCTTCCCACATGCCCGGGTGGTGCCTGGGGGGGGGGGGCACCATCTGAGCTGGAATACTGGTTCAGTCCCATGGAGGGGTGGCATCATGAATGGGACCTATGAACTGTATCATCATGGGTGCAGCCT